GCTAATCCTTCCGAGCTAAGACGCGGCCGGGCCCTCGCTGGCGCGGTCCGGGCGGCAGGTAGGTGCGTGCGTGCTGGAGAAGGCAGAGAGTTTCCCAGCGGGCAGGCAGCTCGCGCCGCCCGTCAGCTCTTCTCCTGGGGATGCGGGTGTCCTGCCCCGACACCAGTACCGCCCCGCGCTGACCCAAAGCCGTTGCATGCCGTTACAGCAGCGCGTGCAGCAGGGGTTACGCCTGGGCGCGTGTGGAGCTCTCCCTTTTATCCTCTCGTGCGCTAAAAACGCCCTGGCCAGTGTTGCTGCGCTCACAGAAGGGATTGTGCAGCTCCAGGGAAGGCTTGGGGTGGATTTGCTTTGCTGTCCCTTGCACTGAGATGTGTCCCCGCGGGAGACTGCCGTCAGCAGGGAGCATTTACACAGCCGCGTGATGCTTTCAGTCTTTCCACAAGAGCAGACAGACCCTTTCGTTTGTGCAGAGGGATAATCGTTCTGCCTAGCGTGTCCCAAAACTAGGATGGACATCCCTACTACAGAGGAAAGAGATTCAAAGGGAACCAGGATTTAAAGCTCTGTTATGGCTCTGTTAAAACCACCTTGATACGTAAAAGTATATATAGCAATGGAAAAATCTGATCGAGGTCAAAAGTTGTGTATTGCTTCCCTGATGCACGTCCTACAAATAAGCTTTCATTAGCATTCGTGACACAGGCTTAGCTCCTCTGAAAGTTGGAAGGCCACCACAGATCAGTCTTTCTGCTCAGTGGTACTGGGAACTCCGCCACCTCTGGGACAGTTTATTTGTCCAACAGGGTGAAATGTGTGTGTGAAACTCACTGCGGGGAGAATACAAGGAAATCTGATCCCATATTGCCTTAGGGCTCCAGCCACTAACAGGCTTAGGTTGGTCTGAAACACCTGTGTTTAAAGATGCCAACCCCCAAGACATCCTGTTTTGCTATCTCACTGTGAGATTGCCTAAAAGCAGTAGGTGTGCCCCTGTGTCTCTCCAAACCCTCCGGTGTGTCAGACCCGAGTTGGCATCCCCAGGCTGAGTGTCTCCTTCTGCAGAGTGACTTCTTTGGAGCTCCTCAGCAGAGAGACACAGGCCTTTGCCCACATCCAGCCAGAAGAGAAACCCCGCAGCCCTCGGGGCTGAAAAAGGCCTGGGAAACGTTAAGCTGGAATG